GAGGCAGTTGCAGAATCCCAGCCCGGAGATCTGACTTCTGAGATTTAAGCAGGGGATCCTTGCTGCTGCACTCTGATCACTTCCATGGACAAAGTTACCACATAGGAGCACACCATAAACCCAGTAAGATCTTCCTTGCTTTCCCCTTCCCTTCACATAAGGTTTTGAAGAACTCACAGTTCTGTTTCATTTTTGCACAAGAACTGTTAGCCCTAAAGTTTCTAAATTTAGGTTCACAGCCTTCTTTCAAAGATATCCGAAACCTTTCTAACATATGAAGTGCTTCAGAAATAGATTTGTCAAACCCAAGGCTCTTTCTAGACACCTTCATTTTCACTGAAGAAGAATGCAAATATGGAATAAGTGGTGTTCAAATCTTGATCAGTGGGTTTCCACATTTCTTTGCATTTCAGCTCTGATGCAGCATTTGAACACAATTCTGTTCCCCTGAGTGATGAGTTCTGTTTTCACACAGTTTGAGGCTCTTCTTCACAAAGATTGACTGGGACTCTTCCTATAGTGTTACAACTCCTCTTACAAACTCATTAAAAAACACTAGATAGGCTCAGCCCTGCACAGGAAAGTTGTAGGAATGCATTTGCTGTATCTTACCAGCCTCTTCTCAGCTATGTCTCTTTTTAAGTCTGTTCTTTTAGCACTTCTCACTTTTAGCATGAGGTCCACATTCAAAAGGTTGTTGATAATTTTTACTTTTGGCATTATCACAAACACTTTGTCAAAATCCTGCCAGACAAAATGCAGAATACACAAAACCCATTTTATCCAGAGAGTACATTAACTCACACATACGGAGACCCACACTGTACCGTCACTACCAGCTCAGGCTTACTCCTCTCAACCCTTTCCCTGGGGAGGCAGGAATTGTTCCCTGCACCACCTGGGAAACCAGGCCCTTAAAACATAAGCAGCTGCTATTCCTGGTCTGGCTGAGAGTTAGTGTGGGGCAGGACACCTGCAAGGCCACATCTACCCTGCCAGAGATTTGCTGTTCCTTACTCACAGCTCCCCCTTGCCTAAACACCCCTCAGATTTACTACATGGAAACTCACAGCAGAAGTCAGCTGCTGTCCCTCTTTACCTTCGTGCAGTGTCAGTGAGAAACAAGGTTGTTCTAGGAGATGCCACATATCTTACAGCCCTCCTGAGGTTACAGGCAGTTGGGGTAGGCAGATGGCCCTCCTGAAATATGTTAATAAGGACTGGGAGTAGGGAGAAATGATACAATGCAGCAATTAACAAATAACAGAGAGGAGCAGCAGAGCCTACAGAAATTCCCAAGCTACATAAATAATCTAAGGGGCATGAGCTCAATAGCTGAGAACATATGGATGCTAATTACATGTTACTCCACCAGAATGGGGAGGAAAACCCCTCCTTGTTCATGGAACTGCCTCTGTCCCACCTTAGTACTCAGAAAGGAACTCTAGAGTTGCAAAGCTCAGCAGTGTCCTTGCTCTGCCATCCAGGCAGTGGCAATTCTGGCGCCAGCTGACTCACAAACCCCAGCAGGGCTGCTATATCAACACTTAATACAGTATCTTATACCTTTTCTGCAAGGGACCATCCAGGTTGCAAGAGGCTGACAGTTTCTCTATCCCCATGAACCTCCTGCCCTCTTTACAGACTGGTGTTCCTTGGATCCTTCATCCCAGTTAACAGGATGTCAGGACACCTCCCTCACCCTGAGGACCATGGGATCTGGAACTGCCTGACCTCATCACTTCCTCTAAATGTGCAAATCCTCTCCTTCCTCTGCAGATGTAGCTGTGCAGCTACACTTAAGGAGAGGAGGGAGGCAGAGGGAAAGCAATGTGCTTTCAGGCTTCCCCTCCCCAAACCACTGCTCGAGGCTGTGCAGGTAACAGTGCTAAAGAGGAGGGAGAGCAAAGGCAAGGGACACGATAAGCCACAGGCAAGGCAAACACAAGGAGTACAGCTGCATCAGTGGCTGCTCTTTAGGCATCATTCTGGGCTGCACACTTGTGACAACTGCAAATCAGTGAGAGACTGAAAACTGCTGCAAAATTCCTAAGCCCAGGAAGCAAAGGTAGAATCCTGATAGAGGCTTGTGCAACATCAGGCAGGTTCAAATTATTCATTGAAATAATGCCTCTAACTTCCACCACAGCTTGACTTGGTGCAGGGATGCAAGAAGGCTGCTCAATGGAATGGTTTGATTTAATTTACATCTGATTTCTCTGGTGTACATCAACTGCTTATATATGACCATGAATTTAACATAATCCTGAAAGCAGTTTTGGGATAAAATAAACCATCAACTTGCTGGCATAAGGAAATACTGGTTTACATAATCCCACTATTAGAATCAGTTCTCTTTTAATACAGCACTTCCAAAGCAAGAAGGTAAACATGAGAGCAAAGTAAGTGGCAAGCCAGGCTCTAGAGAGGCCTCGGTTTATCTGTAGGAATGGTACTTGGTGAGTTATTTTGGGATGCTTAGGAGTAAAGCAGACATGATCTATGATACACTATCCAAGACAGCTGTGCTCTCACAGCTGGGATCAAGTCACCAGCCCAAGACATCTCCTGTCCTCTCCCAACCACAAGGATAACTGTTTCCCATGACAAAGGAACCTGCTGTCCCAGCACCAGACCCTAGAGCTCTAAGAGTGCTGCATTCTCCTAAGCCTGCCTTGTTGGCAGGTGGCCTTTGAGACAGCATCAGAACACCCCAGCACAGCAGTGCCAGCAAAATTGACTGGGAGGTTTGTTTCAGCAATGTCTAAATATGCTGGGAATTGCGAGCCTGATTCCTTGAAGCTTCAGGATTTAATGAGCACACCCTGAGTGGTGATCTTCCCCCCACCCCCCTGCTCTGTACAGCCTTCTGGTGTTTTATTCAGTTATTTCAAACTCTCCTCTGATGTTAAAGCCTTTGAGACAACTTCATTTATCTCCCTAATAATCTCAAAGTCTACTCTCTATTTTCAGATCTCAGTTTCTCTGACACATTCTTGCCTTTTCCTAGAATGCACTTTAAAGAGTATTCCTCAAGTTTGCCATCACTCGACCCTGCCTGAGCAATATTACATTTCTAATTATTCTACCCTGTACAATGCACTGAATTTGCTTCCTATTTCCTTTGTCCGGAGCTCTTTTGATTTCAGTTTTTTTTTTAAAAAAAAAACCTCCTCTGCCTCCTTTCTCCATCTAGCCAAGATGAATTTTCCTCTGTTCCATTCTTGTTCTATATCGAGATATTCTTGCCTGATTTTATGTTATACATCCATCCCAAGGCAGTGAAAAATCATCCTCTTCTGCTGTATTGTGGTACACAATACAATGCCAAAATGTCAGAGATCCTACACATCAGAGACTGGCGCCTAGAGGATTTACAGGAAGAGCTGGGATCACAAGGGGACATAGACTTTTATTTGCAGTGTCACTTTTGGGTACTTCTGTGGTCATTCCTATCAAGCACACATTGTCATCAATTTGGTACATCCTAGCACAATTCTCACAGCCAGCTTGGCCCAGGGGCAAGTGAGGAAGGAAATCTGGGTTGCACAATAGACTGAAAGGAGAAGGACAAGCACAGCATGAGGTGGATAAGGGATAAGGAAATCTGGAATTTGGGGGTGGATGACAGGAGGCTGGTCCATAGAGGAATGGGATGGGAGGTGTCCTGCAGCAGGGCAGGGGGCTGAGCAGCAGTGCAGGCACAAGCCAGGCTTTTGAGATAGGACTTGGTTTTCAGAACTGGCAGCTGGAGTTGCATCTTCTGACACCTTTGTAGCCTCCACAGGGCACTCATGGACCTTGCAAAATGCTTCCCTTCTGCTTCCCCACTATCTCCTGCCCTGCTCCAAGAAAAAAGTCATGCTGGTCCTGCCAGCAAATAACTACTCACCAGCCAGCTCCAGTTCCTGGGGACCAGATGAAAAATCCTGTTCCTGTTCCTCCCAGCTGTGCCATATGCTGCTGAGCCAATGCTGTTCTGTGCCTCAGAGATGGACACACTTCACACAGTGACAGTAACACTCTTTCAGATGAAAATATGGTTTACAAGAGGAAGTAAGTTAATTTATAATTAACTCGAGATGCCTGAGCCCAAGACAAGGAACACTTTTTAACTGGCAGCCAGATGGCTTTGTGGGCTCTGTTCCTTAAACCATTTATCAGCTTTTCATCTCAGAGACTGCCAGTCAAACAGCAGGCCCTGGAAATTATCCTACCACCTACCTCTCCAGGAGGGTATTTTTGTACAGAGGTCTAGTTGGATTTCCAAACTTTATGTAAGTAGCTTAATTTACTACAGCCAGACTTTCTTTACTAAGGGAATGTAGGACGGAGACTTTTGTTTTGCATGGAAGACACCTCTTCAGGGTTGCATATTTAAGATTTCCTTCCCTTCCTTACCTAAAAGAAAAGATTTTCTTTGAGCCCCCTTGTGTCTGTTCCAGGTCTTTTCTCTTTGGTGTGTATGCCTTTGTAGCAAGCTCTCTCACAGCCCTGCTGTCTCCTTGACCTACTGGTGCTAGAAATGTATTCTAGTGAAACTGCTAAAGATTTCCTCTTCTGTGCACAAAATTAATATTCTTCCTAGAGGAAAATCATAGCAATGAGCATCTTCTACTCTGCACCTCTACACAGCTGCATGTGAAAATGCTGACTTCAGATTTGAAGCATTTGATGCCCCATGCAGTGTTGATTCCAGAAGGTCAGATTTTAAGGCCCATGGAAATCTTCTCTCCCCACCTCCTTCATGGCAGAAGCCAGAAACTTCTCCCCATGATTCCTGTACTTGAGATCAAAGCACCTGCATTGAAGGAATTGCCCAATTATTCCAATGGTTACAAACCTTTACTATTAGGGATCATTTTATCATCAAATTGTCATGGGATGCTACTCTGCACTGGTCTGCTACACTGAAGAGCCATCAAGTTCTGTGTTTTGAACATCATCTTACTCAATTTTTCTCTCCATGCTTGTTCAAACAAAATGGATACTATAAGGGGTTTGGGTTTTACTATTTTTTTATAGAAACACTTTATTGCTGCAGTCAATAACCCTGTGTATCACACACAAATAACCAATTACAGTTTAAGAAACTAAAAATAATTCTGCAAGTGGTAATACTGAGAAAACGAACATACATGAAAGGATACAAAACTATACATTAAGTTACTAGAAATTTAATAACTAAAAAATTCTGCAGAAGTATGAAGTGTCTTGTATAAACGTTATACAACACATGCCAGTGTAAAGTTCTTCAACATTATACAATCACCTATCTACAAATGTTTTACCTAAATACAAGATTAGCTGCAATTTTTAAACAGTTATCTTCTATACAAAGACAAGTGCTTTCAGTACTTCATTGGAATATACAGACACTGCAATATCTCAAAACTAAAAAATAATCACAAAATAAAAGGTCCCACTTAGAAATTTTCTTAGTGTATCTAATACAACACTAAGGAAATCCAGCCAGCAATATCCTTGCTTTTGTATTTACCCTTTTTGACCCATATCTGAGAGGGACCCAACCCAGAGTCACTGACCTCCCCCCTTTCATTGCTGGCCAGTCTCCAGAGCAGACCACACCAGAAATCTGTATCTTAACACACATCAGCTTTAGGAGAAATGTGCACCTGGTTCCTACTTTGCAATAGATACATATTCTGCCACACACAGGGCAGAAGCAACCAGTTCCTGTGCACGGTGACCTCCATGCATCACTTCCAAGGTTTCCCACCATGGAGTGGCAGGCCAAGCAGCCCCCTTCCTTACAGCACCAAGTGGGCCTCGTGCTCTATCAGTACAGAGGCTTGGCCTGAACAGAGTTATGACTGCTTGCCAGCAACTCCCAGGTACAGCACAGAGGCCCAGCTCTTCTCTAACCCTTCACAGGCACATTCAGTCTTCACTGAATGCCTCCTTGCTGAAGCAAAGCCAATCTCAGTGACACTCAACCAGAGGGAGCTGTCCCAGGGTCTGGCCATCTCTTCAGAGCACATTTTAAACACCACCCTCACTCCCAAAACACGGACTTACACTTGAAAAAAGTCCTGAGAATCCACAGGAATTTAGTATCTCATCAGTTCTTACACAGGATCAACCTTCTGCAGCACACACCTGTATTTCTAACATCATGCAAGCTCATGACCTGGCAGATTCAAACGTGACACAGCAGGGGAATTTCCTTGGCCCAGATGGTGTCTTTTTGGACAGGAGTGCTGTTAGTAGAATGGGGTCAGTTATCTGGGGCATTGAACATATCAGCACAGGCTCTGGCAACCTAGGGAAGGGACTGTAGTACATGGCATTAAGCCTCTGCTCCCTCCTACTTAAATTCTGGTCTCAGGAAAGTCTCACAGTAACCCAAGCTAACTTTGGCCGAGGTACAAGGACCAGGCTTCTATTTCAGTCATCTCAAAAGCTGCCAGAAGGAAGTACTGGAAAGCCTGATCTAACAGGGGGTGATTGTTCCCCTTACTGACATCTGAATGGAAAGGGCAGAGCTCACCTGAGCTGGCATCAGTGCCTCGCAGCTGGAAGCTGAAAAAAGTCAATAGTATTTTCTTGAGGAGAAAGAAGAAAAAAGCACCATTCAGCCTTCTCAAACATTTCATGGCACCATGCAGAAGCAGAGAACTGCATCTCCAGAAGCCCACCATTAACACCAAGGAAGAATCAACATGAGAAGTGTCATCAGCATAAATGAAACCCCCAACAGATGGATCTCTTCTGCAGCCTTTCCTGGTATGAGCATTCCTAAGCTGTATAAAGAGTTTAAATAATTTGCCTTAATTTTCATTCCAAAAAGATCTGTTGGGAGAGGGAATTGTTAGCAGCAACACTGGCTAAAACATTTTCATTCACAAGTATTTTTCCCCAAGTGATTTTGCTGGAGATGATTTTTCTTCACAAGTTGAGATACTCAGGGGCACAGCAAAAACCTTCAGTACCCTGAATACACTGAACAATACCTGGCACACTCCACATGCAGCTTCCAAAACATTGAATGAGATTTTGTAATGTTTCACCTAGAATTATGTACAACAGTGGCTGAAGCAGAACCAGCAAGTTGTGGTGTGCTGAATCGGCCATGTCAGAACATTGCTCACACCAGAGCTGCTCAGGTGAGCTGGGAACAGCCAGGTTTCATCCAGGACTTGTCCATCTTCCTTTCCTCGCCGGTCACAGACAGGGTGAGCACACGCACAGCATCGCTCGGCAGCTGAGCCTGCGCCTCTCACAGCTGTAACGTGAGCATCTCACAGACAGGCAGGCCCGTGCACTTGGGCATTTCTGAAGGACATCATGAAGGTGTGCAAGACCTGATACTTAACCCACCTGAGTTTATCTAGTGAATCTTTCACAGAACAAAACAGAAAACAAAACGAGACAGTGTATTATCTGGGTTCTCAAAATAGAAGAGGATCACCCACAGCAGAGTTCAGGAAAGGTCTTGAGTAATTGCACTTTGAATTATGGCAGGCACAGGCAACAAACTCTGCATGTGTATGGTCACAAAGACTGCCCTGATACTAGCAGGGTATGCAGGGTTTGTCTGCCTGTATCACTTAAGCGTGGGACATCCTGACAGCTAGTACAGTACACAAATCCATGCCAGTGCAGCTTTACCAGGACTGCCCAGAGGTCTGGATGTTTTATCACATCTCAAGAACAAGGTACCACGTTGTTCATGGAGATCACAGACAGTAAGCTTCAAGCATGAAGTGACAGAGGCACATGTGCTTTTCCTCTAACAGCTTCTAGAAACCACTGGGATGAGTGTTCTCTTACCAGAGTCGCTTCACTGCCTTCTATTAAAACATTGATTTAGAAATAAATTAATATTACATTTTAAGGAAAAAATCCCTGATCTCTTACTGTTATATTTTAAGAAGTCTTAAAGCAGCTGCTTTTACTATGAAAAAATGTACCCAAAGTTGTACTTCAAAAAATACTAAGTGAAACTTGAACTATAGCTAAGAATTTAGTTCACTATCTCAACAAGTAAACAGAAACTTTTACCTGAGAAGTCCAGGCAACTCCTACTAAAACCAGCCATATTATCATCATTGACTTGACAGAGATGTAGACAGGGCTCAGGTACGGAAAGTCAGCTTTCAAATGCAGAGGCCTCATGTGCTGACTTTTCATGGGGCTTTGTTTCTGCTCTAGTCACACTGAGACTTTGGTTAAATGAGGGCTTAAAGCTGGACAGTGGTGCAGTGAAACAGACTGGACAAACAAATCAACTGCAGACACCCCAGGCTTTGGGCAACTAAAAGCCTTGCAAACAGATTTTAAAGCTGTCCCTCTCTTTGCATGAAAGCTGACTGATTAAAAAGCCAGTCCCAAATTCAAAAACACAGATATATACTATTCTCTGACCACACAGTGCATCACATCAAGTAGGTATTTCTAAATTTATCCACTTAATGTGATATTTACTTCCTAGACTTGTATGTCAGCATCTCCTCTGACAACATCAAATTCTTGGGTAATTCACACATGACACAGCATTAAAGAAAGAAAACCAGTTTCAGCTGTATTGACTAAGTTTCCTTTTTTCTGTAACAGTTCACATTTTTATCAATATCAATATAGCAACAAACCCTTTGCCAATGGTTTGGAATGAAAGCTACTTCAGGTATATATGAGCAGGTATGTTGATGGTCTGACCTGTTGGGGAAAAAAAAATCAAAACCAATCCCCAAAACAGAACACTGAAACCACTGAAAACAAACATTTTACACATCCACTACTCCTCATACACAAGTCACAAGTGCAATATCCTTTGAAGAAAATTGCTCCTCAAAGTAATCCCAAAGAGGCAGAATTTTTTAGTGTTACGTTTAGTGAGATAATGTGGGCGTGTGTGGGAAATCACAGGCTGAAATTTAATTTTTTTTTATAAGGCAAGAGGTTTATGTTTCAGAAGAATAAATGGGGTAAAGAATTAAGAAATGTTTCAAAAATGACACATTCTTTCAAGTTTCATTCTCATTTGACATACATATCACAAAATAAAGATTTTTAAAAGTGCTATATGCTTTGTAAGTCTCATTGCAATATGTAAAGCAAAATTTTACACCTGCTGCTTGAGACACAATGTTAGTGGCAGTGTTAGTGGTAGATTAGACTCCCTCTCATTTCTCTCACTGTCTGGGACAACCTCCTTCATCACACATAAAGAACAGACCGACCAACCAACCAACCCCACAATACACATCCTCCAGAATCCCTTCAGAATCATCTTCTAAAGTAACAGACTCCATGAAGTTGGTGACAGCTCGCTAGCGGCTTCCTTGGTACCAAACCCAAGGCTCATTCTACCCTGTGAATACCTCATCCTCTGGCTCTTTGATCAGCCAGTACGAGACACTAAATGTTGAGAGGTATGCAACCATGATGACATTGACAGATATGCCTAAGGGATTTTTAAAAATTCCAACAAAAAAACAAATGTAAAAAATTCATCCGCCAGCCCTCAGCTGTTTGCTGATGTTAAAAAGGTAGACCAGTTTGCAGTAAACAATGATATTCAAATCTTCAAGGACATATGGAAATACCCCTTCCAGCTAGCAATCAGACATGAAGGATTTCTGCAGCACAGTCTTCTGGCTCTGTGTAATGTGAAGAGTTTGTGTCTGAATGGTGAACCCCAAACATTTCTTTACTTTCAAAGTTTGGCTCCATTAGTGCAGGTTTTTCAAAAATATTCTTTTTGCTAGTTTCTGGACAGTTTTGTACATATATTACTCGGTTATAAGCTTTAAGTCTCTTCCACAGCTGTACGTACACCTTGCATTGTACATACATGAACAGAAGTCCTCCAGTGAAACCAATAGCCACAACTACCAGCTTAGTCCAAAATGGCCACTCTAGAATACCTGGAAGTAAAAAAATAAAAAGAAGAATTAAATTCATCTCAGAAACTGCCAGTCAAACAGCAGGTCCTGGAAAATATCCTATCACCTCTCCAGGAGGGTGCTTTTATAGAGTTCATGTTGGGTTTCCAAACTTTATGTAAGTAGCTTAATTTACTACAGCCAAATTTTCTTAAGCTGGACTAAACTGGTTCTTTCAAAAATGTACTGTAAGGAAACTGTCACAGAGTTTGGGTCATGCCAGCTATTCTTATTTTGCAGTTTTTCCTGTCTGGCTTTTTTTTCTTCTTCAAGTCAAACACACAGACTTCTGCTTCATGTATCACATTCTTCCCCACCAGAGAAAAAACCAAAACAAGTGATTTTCTGTGTTTGAACCTTGATGCAGTACAATCACAGAGTCAAGGCAACCACCATTAATATACTTAGGTCCTTTTACACCTGTTTTTAAACAAAGACTGGATCCAGTTATGAAAGGGATTCTATGGCATGGTTTCCTCTTCATAGGAGAGATTCAACCCAGTGACCCAACAAGTCTGTTCCACTCTGTGATCACACATGGAGATATAAAGGAATTATTGTTACCATATAGCTTGACATGTTTGTTATGCAGACGAGGAACATTTTATCTGCATCACACTCAGTAACTTGTATTTGAACTAGAGCATCTCTGATACAAACTGCAAGTGCTGGAGATGCTGAAGCATTCCAAGCTTACCCTCTGCCCTTAAAAACTATCACCATCACTTTGCCCAAATTTGTCTAACTTGAACATTTAGACAGGGGATCTTGTTACATTTCTATCAACCACTTTTAAATTAAAAACTATTCATTTTATACATATTCTTACATAGCTCCTGTATTCATCCAGCCTCTTTAAAATAAGTGCCATCACAAGATGGATATGAAACTATGCTGAATCAATCATTACCAGGTTTTTCAGAGAATAAAATAATATCTTTCCAACTCTTCAAAATCTTAACCAAGATACAGGGCTGGTGTGGTTTTGGAAAGGCATGGCAGTGAGGGAAGAATTAAAATATTTTAGTCCCAAAATACAAAGGGCATTGCAGCTCTATTATTGATGAAATCTCACTTGTGATTCATATCTGACCCTCTCATTCAAAGATGAGCTGTCTGATGCTGTCTGTAGGCAGCGACAGCACATGCTTGTCCCTGTGTGGACATGAATATATACCCACACACACTTCCTGCACCCCTCAGCTCATTACAGAACTCCCTGGATTTAGAATCCAAATGAAAGGAGAAAAGAAAGCAATATCATATGGACCAAATATTCACAACATTCTTCCTAGTTATGTTCATCTAATATATTTACAGGAAAAAATAACCTTTGAAAACATATCCTTTTCATTATCATATGGAAGCCTTACACTTTTGAAAGGCCAAGAATGTTCACTGCTCATGGAAGAAATGGGGTTGGATGGAACAGAAACTAAGAGATTTCACTGAAAGCAGCTTCCTGACTGAAGGCGTGAACAATGCAGCTATAGCCTAAATGAGAAATGAGAGGATAACTTTTTAATTTCAAGTGATTCTGCTTTGAAGAGACTGTAACAACTCTGTGGATTTACAGGTTTATCAGTGCTCAACCACCTCCCCAAAGGACACTGTTCAATCCCCAGTAATCCCCTCTGTAAGCAAGGACCACTTGCCTTCTAACAGCTTCCATCCATTCTACCCCACCTTCAGGCTCAGTTGCCCGAGGAACAGTTTTGTGACAGCTGCAAATCTGCAGCCCAGCATACCTGAGTAAACACATTTCAGCTTGGCACGTTTACTGACTGAAGACAAACCTGTACTGGCATACTAAAGAAAACCTTCTAAGGTACCTGTGCACTGGGGTGGCAGCCCTTGATAAGACTGCAAGCATCTTATCTCATTTGCGCAAACTGGAGTCCTAATAATCGACTTGAATTTCTTCTGCTTCAAGTGCAATCATTCATGAAAGTTTTCCCAGCCTAACATGGCTCTCGCTGATGACTAACCCACCCCACAGATGACTGGGCAGAAAGAAAACCTTGTTGATTTACCTCAAAGATTTGAATTTAGGTTCCTCTTACTTCTTCTCTTTTTTAAAACTGTTCCAGTTTTGTCCAGTTTAAAGGTAGCCATAGCAGCAAACAAATGCTTATATCCTTATCTGCAAATTTAGACCTAAATTTGCTGAGGCAGTGCAACTTTGTGTCTGGCTACAGTGGCTTAGCTCTCATATCCATGCATTTCACAACTGCTAACTAAATTGACCTGAAATAGATTTTAAAAGTACCCATGGATTCATTCACTGGTTAATTTACTGATTTAGCTAAATAATTTTAGAACTGTGCTTTTAAAACAACCCAACACCAGGGTAAAGCTGACTAGTTTAAGTTTAATACTTATGTTCCACATCCTCTCTGCAATCAGGATAAAGAATTATTCCAAGAGAATAAGTGGGAAGATAAGCAAGTAACATACCGGTAGTTTGTCCCTGTTTAATCTCTTCAGCAGTCCTGTCTATCAGGACATAGAGAGACCACACAACGCAGGTGATGGCAATGATATGGAATGTTACAGAGCACATGATCTTCCTCCTCTCGCTGGCTGTCATCTGCAGCTTCTCCCACTGGCAAGAAACCAGGAACCAGAGCAAGAGATTAGGAGTTTATTGTAGTTACTTTAGTAGTAGTTATTATTAGTAGAGAGTATGAAAAGAGAACATTGATAAGAACGAAAACCAGGCAGGAGACCAGTTTCCTCCTAACAGGGATTGTGAAAGTCAGATGGCATCATTGTTTAGGTCACAGCATGTGTGTGAGGGCTGGCAGCTCACCCTGCTGTGACAGGAGCCATCCTGGTGCCAGAGGGGACTCAGTGCTCAGCTCCCACCCTGTGCCTCAGACAGTCCCATCACACCCTGCTTACCCACACAGGGCCCCGAGCAGGGCTGCTCCTTCCTGGGTACCCCCAGCTGAGCTGAGCATCTCCAGTGGGAGTGGTACCCTTGCTCAGGGAGGCATTCAACAGAACAATGGAAGTGGCACAGGATTCAGGGTGTGTAAAGACTCCTCAGGGTGAGCTCTCAGAGTCCCATGGCTGTTCAGTTCTCACCTCCTCCTCTGGGGGTTTCATTCAATCTTCACTTGTATTTAACACCACTTATAACAGTGACACTCACAATTTATTTTCAGTGTTTCAAGTGCACTTAAATACATATGTCCATAGAATATACAGAATGGGAGTGAGAGGCTTTCTAAGTGACAGGATGCAGCAAATTAAATCCCGAGTTCTGCATCTATCAATAATGCTTATATAGCCCAAAACAAAATCACAAAATCAGGTCAATGTACTTTCAGAAAGATATAAAGAAACCAGACAATTATTATAGATGCTTCTAATATGCCAGACATACTTGGCACACCCAGAAGCTGTGTTTTAAATTTCTTTTCTGTAATTTTGCCTATGTATATGATGAAAGTTTTTGCATGTGGGACACACATCCCTCAACATATCTGCTTGGAAGAGAGTTATGACAGGCTTTTCTCACACTTTCACAAAATACATGCTGGGACATATAAACATCTCATGCATAAAAAGGTGCATCTGATGTCTTGTAGAATAATTTGTAGAAAAAGAGGACTTCAAAAAGGAAGCATAGTGTGGAAGGGGGTGAGGATGAACTGAATGGTATGATTGAAATCATCCATTATGTTGAATTATTGCTTCCACTGCCACAAAAACAAGAATGGCTGAAACATGAGACAGAGACTTTGTGATCATTTCTATGCTGCCAACAGACACATCTCTTTGCCCAGCCCAAGCCACATTTCCAGTTATGTGGGCAGCCAACCTCATCATGGCAAAATAATTGAGTACTTCCAGGAACTACATGCTAGAGTTGTTGTACTAGAAAGCAGTATTTTCCAGTCATTTTAGAAAAAGATTGGACAAAACATTCCCTTTGCATGTTGTATTTTAAACAGAAAATTGGTTTTGCTTCTATAAAAAGGTGTTGCCTTTTGATAGGAAGTACAAATTAATCAAATTATTTTGCCAAAAAGCAACCATGTTAAATCTATTTGCAAATGCTTTTACAGAGCTAGGAGGACCTGTGCTTTGACTAATTTACAGTTCTCTTTTCTGTTCCACAGCTTGGGCTCCTCTGCTGGACAATACCTCCTGTGAACTGCTGGCTCCACAGTCACAAAACCAGCTTGCACCACCCCACTGCTTCAAGAGAGATGACTGCAAAGCAAAACAGAAAATATTCTGCAAATTGCACACTAGCCCAGAGAGGAAACTCAAATCTGTAGGTCCCTGCTGCATTATTCTGATGACACAGCATGTGCCATTTCCCACTTAAAATAGTCAGCAGTTCTGGACTTTTCAAGTGTTGTTAAAACAAACAAGAAAAAAAAAAAGCCCAGGGGAAAATTTAATGTCTTTTTTTTCCATTGAAATTTTCAAATTAGGCATCTCTCTTTTGTCTGCCCTCACCTTCATTTGAGCCATGACACATTTTGTTCTCACTGTCTTCCCTTAGTAACTTAGTGTTTGAACAGCCCAATGCTGCAATACAACCTTAAGATGCCAAGGAAGTTTAATTCCATTCCTACCCTATAGACAAAGAGAAGCCCTATTATTTGTTCCATCCTGATCATGCTCACAGTTCCAGGCTGTTTTCTCCTGACTGAAAGGCTACCATAAGGGCTGAGTTGAAGATACAGAGGCATCTTATCTTTTTGTTGCAGCTGAACCCCTAAAAGGACTCTATATGTATTTGAGAGGCAAAATCCTTCTATTTATGGCTCTATTCCTACCTTCTGGCAACTTGTCTGCTTCCCACAGATGACCTGTTCAGATATAACTAATGATGTTGAGTGACTCATTTCTGAAGGTGCACAACATCTTTTTTTTTCCACAGGGCACAAATATTCAGAAAATGTTCACCACCCACTTCAGGCAGAGGGAGCACAGAAAAAAACAGCAGTCAACTGACAACTATAGCAACTCTTCTTTGGATTCTCTGGAATAATTTCTTTCCTGTCCTATGGTTGGGTTGTGCAGAGTATTGGCTGTGCAGACAACAGAGCTTATGATGACCAATTCTGCAGCTCAGAAACAACTACACTCTGTGCCAAGGGGTTACAAAGCCAAAATCTGCATTTTTAGAAGGCAATGATCCACCACAGTCATAAGCAAAGGACATACCATCCACTGGACATGCTAAGCTCTACACTTTGCAGACAGTACACGTCTCTAAAAAATAAGAAGTGTTTGAAATCTGCTCTATTTTCTGTTAGAAGACGCTTCTAGGATTTGGACAAGTTCTCATAATAGTTTTTGGATAGCTGCAGTCCAAACTTCTCACCCTACATGATTTAGGCTCATCATAACTGAATTTAATGTTTCTCATTTATTCTAGTTCCAGACTGAGGTTATCATTATTAACCTCTTCCACTTTAGTAGATATGGCAAGATTTGTCTGTGCTAAGAATATCAGTGACTTCCTTCTCAAAATCCTGATGTCAGGACAAATGACATTGGAAGCTTGGAGGATGTGGGAGAACAAAATGAGGATAGAAGCACCTATACTTCAAATCACCAGATTTTGCTTAATAGATACTTATCTATTAAACAAAAATACAGGTTCTAGTCTTTCACAGCCTAAGAAAAGGTAAAAATGAAAGCACATCTAACAGGGAACCACCTTCTACTTACAATGTATTATCCTCACTAAGTAAGCTTGATCCTTTAAAAAGAAAAGGAAAGCTACAAATTTTAACTAAATTACATCCAAGAAGTGTGATTGAAAGTAAATTTAATGTGAAACCCTCATCTTTTGAAGAAAAGCCATGTGGATCTTAGAGCCACAAACTAAAGCAGCGAACAGTAATAGAAAGCTCCCCATTAAAAAAAGTATACTGCTGACTGTAGAATTTTGTGCTCTAACATCTAAAGAAAAAAATCAGATTGTTGCATATATATATATATACACACACACACACATATACAGACAGAAAGCTGCTGGGCTGTAACAGCTGTTATCAGAGCTGGATTCCTGTGATGTTGAATTTGCCAGGGTGAGTGTTAATTCAAATCCTTTTGTACCTATACAAGACTGACCAGACTTACTTACAAAACCATTCACAAAGACACGGTGGGTGCTGCAGGCTCATGGGCACAGCCTGTTCCAGAGTGGATCTCTGTTTAACAAAGCATGTTCTCAGGGAAGCAGGTGCTGTGCCTACCTTCCTCAAAGGCTTCAGCTTTGTCTCCATGATGAACTCATACTTGCACAGCTCACAGCACCGCGTGTCCGAGCTCTTGATCCATTGCTGCAGGCAGGCCTGGTGCACAAAGTGGAGACTGCCCGTACAGTGGCAGGGGGTAATCAAAGGGCTCTCATCATCTCCTTCACAGTGACATATCCTGAATCAGAAGCAAAGCTGCTCATTAGGAGAAGAGGAAGCAGAAAGGATGTGGAAGAGCCATGTAATATCTGTGATCACACACGGATGTTCACTGAGGATCCCGAGACATAAATCAAAGGAATGTGTTCCACAAAGGAGCTAAAACTAAACAACTCAATTGCTGCACAAGCACATACACAGGCACAAAATAATTAAGCACAGACACAGATGACTAGACAGCTGTTTTCTCACAGATGATGCACACACGTAGAGCCTGACAGAAATGCAGTACCTGAAAGAAAAAAATGGAGCAAGAAATGACAACATTTCACCCAGACCAATAGCACTTAACTGCAAATAGCATTTAAACAGATCAGACAGCACTTCTCAAGAAAAAATATGCACAGAGAGGTACAGCTACTCATGTACTATGGCCTGAAATAGAAGATAAAACAAAATTCCAATACCAACGGTGAAACAGTCCACCCAGGATCATGAACAACTACTTAGACAGCCTGGATTTTACACAAGTGATTAATTCCAATGCAAATTCCCAAGAGACAGATTCACAATTCAAAACTACAGAACTAAATCTGAACCCCAAAACACACTTATTCTAAATGGTTTTGCTTCTCTAAATCTGACTTAGCAAGACTTGCTAAGGAAGCATCAGCATCAGCAAAATTCCCTATTTTTCTCACAGCCTAACTGTGCAAACAGCAAAGACATCTGATAAAGAGTTACTACCAGCTGCTGACATTTGATTTCCAGATTCAATTTACACAGAATGCCTGGGTAGCATCAAGCATTGTGAAGTCCTTCTAACCATGGGGCAGAGGTCATGAATTGAAAGGGGTTTGGTGAGGAGCACAGGGAATGAATACAAGTCACTAAGCATATGTGAAGTAAATTCTGGCCTGCTGCCATCCCTGTCTATTGCTGAAATCTCGTACTGATGTGTAGCATCTTGCCTCTTGGGACCTTGCTGATAGCTGGCAAGTAGAAATGAAGGCGTGGGTGGATTACAACAGCATCTTGATGGTAAGCCAGTACAGAACTAGATATGGTGGTAATGAGGGGGGAAATCAAATAATATTGGAAAGTAATAACAAAGGCAGCTTTAGGAAGTGTTATTAGGGAGGAGAAAGACTAGGATAATAAAATGCTAGGTAGAGGGATTAGACATTTGCTCCTGAACTTGATGACTCTTGCTCCTCAAACACAATTTTGATGTGGGAGAGGGCAGACCAGCAGCCAAGTCACCATGAAGACAGTCCAGATCTTGTTGCTCCTGACACCTGTGCACATGATTAATCCTCTGCAGCTGGAATAATGACACCCACATTTTTGAATCTCACACTGTGGACATCACACAGGCCTATCACTAACAGGCAGTGCTCAGATACCCTTTGACCAAGAAAACCAGGAAGCCTGTAACAAATAAAAAAGTGTGGTGGGATACAAACTGAGGAGGAAAATAAATCTAAAGCTATATTGATCTGATCTCACAAGCAATTTTCAAGCAGTCTGTTTTCCTCCTGATTCCCCCCCTCTGACCAAACTAGCAGTGCTGTCAGGACAACACATTGCTCATTAAAAGCTAAAACACGTTCAGCTCGACCTTTATGATGCGTAGCTGTGTCTCTCATATAGTATTGCCAGTTTGGGCACTGATAAAATATCTCAGAACCCCAAACCTGAAATAAATTTTAGGAGAATTTATTTGACTCCAAAGGAAGTTATTTTGCTTAGTAGCCTTGTTAAGTGCATCAGAGGGGTGCAGGACCGCAGAGAGAAGGCTGCATGCCTCAAATCACACATACTGTATTAGCAAGGTGACAGGGTAAAAGAAGAGACAGAAACAGCACAAAGGCAGGGGAAAGCAGAACAGTCACCACTGCACATGGGAGGGTTAAAAAGGTAGGTGGTTCTTTGGTAAACCAACCTGCAGGTATCCCCCGATGTGGACACAGGGGACAGAGGGGGTAACTTTTCTGAGAGGGGGGAAGGGCAGTCAAGGTCACTGTCCTTCTCAACTGAACAGAGCGGTGCCCGCTGCTCTTTTGGTTTGAGTTTCACTGAGGTGCTGTCCTCAAAGACGTCATCATCGCCCATATCATCAGAGCAGAAGTCTGTGCTTTCCACCAGCATGCTGGAGGATTTGTCAGCTTGGAAGTGACTGGAATAGCTCTCCAGTTCATGAAATTTATGCAGGCTGCTGATGCTGGAGGTGTGGGAGAAGGAAAAAAGGTAACGCAACAGTTTTTTGCTCCTTGAGGAGTCATGGTCCACCTTGTCCTCCAGCAGGGGGATATGCACAGCGCTGTGGTTCTCGGCTCCTCCTGATGCACTTGAGTAGTTGGAAAGGGAAGGGATATAGGAGTGCTTAGAATTGCTAAAGGAAAGAGGCCTGAGATTCAGCGGTTTCCTCTCTTTAAGATGAAATTTGTTAATCCTTAAACACTGGTCTTGGTTCAGGGTCAGTTTGCCTTCTGAGCGTGTCCGCTCCACATAATCAAAGCACTCGCTGGTGCTCTGCACCTTCTGGTCCACGTCATTGAGGGACTTGGAGAATTTCAGAGTGCGGGTGGGCTTTACATTCTTAGCAGACCTGAGTGCCTGGCCCCGATCCTGCCCATGGGAGTTTCTCTTGGCTGCATGTACCGTGTCCTGACAGATTACTGTCACAGTGACCCCTTGTGTCAGAGGGCTCTGGCAGTGCGGATTTTTCAAGACAACAGCAGACTGCACTGGACTGTGATGACAACACTCAGAAAACACTGCACTGGAACTGCATGCAGAGTAGTGGAATAAAAGCACAGAAAGCAAAAAAAAACAATTAAAAAGGAGAACATGTATAATTAAAAGTGAAGAAATGAGAATTACAGCTAGTGTGCGAATGGTGAACATAGCAGGGCCAAACAGTCAGTAGGATTTAACAAAGCAGTGTTAGACAGCAGTCGAGTCAAACAAATGGGATGCTTCAAGTGGGAATCCCACATCGCTTACTTCCCCACAAACATGCTTTTTCAGTTTTGTTTTTCCTTAATTTGAACCTTGTCTGAGCCTCCCTGTAGCCACGCAAACAGCACACGTTACCTGCAGATGTCCTGGGTGGATGGTGTGACAGAAGTCCGAGAGAAGCTATGAGGGGCAGAGACAGAGGTTGGACTTCCAGCCTGCAATGAAATTAAAACAAACAAACAAACAAAAACACCTTCAAGTCAGGAGTCAGTATGCAGAGCAATTACCTTCAGGGTGAAACACAGCATATGGAGTCAGATATCACTCTACAGCAGATACTCAAGGGCTAGTTGTAAGAAAGTGACTTTACTGTTAAATGCGAGAAAGGTCATCGAGTCCCATCCCTGGAGAAGTAGTGATTAGAACAAAAATGTTTTGCCCCAAGGTCAAATGCAGATATCTCTGGAGTGGAACCTGCCAGCTGTCAAACATTGCACAGAACAATAGCTCAGGAAATGAATAATTAGAATAATTAGATGGAAGTGTGTGTATAAACTAGCTGGAATTTAGCTACCATGTAATAGCTAATCCTTCCTCTAACAATGATGGCAAGAGATGAGAGGCTTGGGGTTTTCTTCACAAAACAGAACCAGCAGTAACTCAAACACAACCTGAGGACTTATATTCCTTACTAGCATATGGACATGAGCACCACCTGCCAACCCACACCATTCCCTGAAGTACTTGGTGTACTTTATGAGGCCTTTTGTCCTGCTCTTACTTGAACAGGATCTTCCATCCTGGAAGATCCATACTAGAGAGGAAGTGTGGCAGCAGTCATATTTGTAAGTTGCAACAATAGACAGTAAGAAATAGAATAACTGAAGAATTAAGAATTATTTGACCTAACTCAAAAACATAAAGTGAAGCTCTTGGCACATTTAACACTTAATAGACAAATCTGAACTCAGTGTGCTAAGAATGAGCATTGTCTCAGCTGTCACTCCTCTGGCTGTTATTAAAGACCTTTCCTGCTGCTGTATCCTGCATGTCACTTTGACAAACTTCTCAACTCCTCCTGGAGATATCTGCGGGGAGGAGTCCTGCATTAATAACCTCATTACACAGAATCTTTAAACCTGGGTCTCCCATGTTCCACAGCTGCTGGACAGGCTGCACTGCTCACCCACTGCTGCAAAACACTGTTTGCACTTCAAAATTCAAACAAAGCTTTACAGCTCTTTTGATCTGCACAGCAAAGCCTGAAACCCAGGAAAGAACAATGCAGTCAGCAGAAAAACAGAAATGTCATCTCCATACTGGGCTGCACAGAAAGCAGCACTGCCAGCAGAGACCTGGGTCAGGCAGCTGCAGACAGCCAGACCAGGGAGGCCTCAGGTGATAAAAGGTGTGCTACCACAGAAGCATGCTGTGCCCAGCCCTGTGCTTCAGCTTCAGACACCAGCAGTTATCACTGCTTTCATAACTGCAGTGATAACTTTGATCATGCTGCAACACACACTGCATCTGTCTTGGGACTTGTCAATTCTGTACTTAGTTTATTAAAAGCCCTTATTGTATATTTAAACAAGGCAGTCACAGGCTTTTATACTGTCATACCAAACCAAGGTTCCTTGTCACATGTTATACTCTTTATTTCTTTGTGAGAGAAGATAGATACACATGCTACTTTATAAATACAGATAAAACAATCACCTTCCTTGTGACAGAACTCATCTTTTAAGGTCTTGCTTCTCTAGTCAACAGCACTATAGACAGCAATGTGTCTGCCCTCACATTAGGACACCTCAGGTGCACAGACACTGAAAAATAGGTATCCATTTACAGCTGGGTCTGCAGGAACCAAAAGCAAGACAGCCAAGACTCTGACACACACCTCTTAACCCTAAATAAGACACTGTAACTTATTTCCCATCTTACCCAAAGCTGAGTGCATGTATAGAATAAAACCCAGTAGAATAACCTTGGGCCAGAAAGCAAACTGAGCTATGTAATGACTGTGACAAAACAAATTACAGACAAAGATCAATTACTGGCTTTATCCAGGAAAACTACAGTTCTTTACATTTTACACCACTTACACATGCTAAGGATTCTGATCATGCAGTGATGTGAATTCAGGTACTTGTTGGAAATTTGTTCTCTCTTTGATGATTAACCTCTCCTAAAAACAGGTACACCTGACATCATATCCTATCTTTTATAAGGGCTTGTGCAGTAACTTTTTTTTAACTCAAAGTCTGACAACTTAATGAAAGATCTGACACTAATTTACTGATAAACTGTTTCACTCTGCAAATAATTAAAACTAAAAAAATGAAATAGTTTAAAAGACGTATTGAGCAATCTTCTAAAAACAAAATATTAAACCAGTAGAACAGCAAGTTGCATTCTGCCATGGAGACACAGCTATATATTGTTGGAAGTGAAGTCATGGATCAATTAATAAATCTGTCTCAGGTTTTATGTTAGGAGCAAATCACAGAAGATAACCTGCAAAGAATGAATCCAATCTCTCAGCTGCTTCAGTTTAGCAATGAACTTTTCTAAAAAGGACAGCAGAATGTATGATGTGACAGTCTAATAGAAGATGAATAGAATCAATGATCCAAAATTTCCCTTCCAAAACCATGTTACTGGTTTCTTGATCCAATTGTCTGGTACCAAGGGTGTTAAAAGTCTTGCCACTTGGGAAATCAAAAGGCTGGGACAAAAAAGAAATTATGGAATTTCATTTGCATTTCAAGCTTAGTATTCTGTTTCTAGATGCCAGTACTGTTCAGAGTGGCTTACAGAAACTCAGTATCTGAGGCACATTTCCCCCCCCCCATTTTTCTGCTTCAGAACAAAAGATACTTTTCTCTATTTTCATACATAATGAAAGTGCAATCAAACTATGAACAGAAGTTAACACACTTGGATAGGCACCACAAAAAGGAACAACAAATCACTGGAGGAAGTTATGCCCTACCCTTGGTTCAAACAAGCAGAGGCTACCACCAAAAGCCATGGTTCAATGAGCCTCCAGTCACCCAGTCTGTCCTCCTTTCATCCCATGCTTTTTGCTGATGAAACTTTACAGAGCTGCACTGCAACTCAGAGTAGGATAGTGAGGTGAGGTAAAACAAACCACTGCTTTAATGCCAGTCACTTCCCTAGGAACGCCAGTCGTGACAGGAGTGAGTCTCTGACAGGGAAGCACAACTCCCCGACAAGAGCACAGCAAAATGCAAGCTGCTGCCCAAGTACCAAGTTCTGCTGCATCTAGAAGCAGGGTTACACATCACTGCTGCTGGCCAGTCCTCCCAGCTCGCCTGGCTCTACTGACTCAGACACAGCAGCTTTCAGGCAGAGGTGCCACAGAGAAGAAGAGATACAGACAGCCTTGGGACAGAACCCGGCAAAGAAGAGGCGGTGATGGGTGAATGAAACAGGCAGGTCCAGCTATCTTGGAGCTCTGATGCTGCTCCCACACACAGCTCAGCTCTGAAAATAACCAGTCAAAGCCTTCTCCACTCTGTAGCTTCTGGTACACATCACCCTTACTGACCCAGCAGCAGCCTCCCAGGTAGCAGCACCTTTGGCCAAACTGGATATTTATAATGGCAATAGCAGCAGCTGGTTTTAGAGCACTCCTTCTCACAGAAGGTTTCTGCCATGTTGATATGTGACATGTAGCCTACACCTTGACAGCCTGAATTTGACCCTTCTAACCCCATAATCACTTGCTGAAACTCTGTGGTCTGTCATGCCCTTCACATGGAGGAACACCACCTCCAGTGACAAGCCTAGGAGCCATGTGCTTGTGAGTTACTCTGTACAGCCTGACTGGTTGCTTAAAATAGCTCAGTACTAAAGGTCAATAGTTAGTTAATTGTGTATATTGACATTCCTATCTAATGCAATTCACTGAGGTCACAGCACGGCCTTCTGCACTGGCACTCCAACACTCACAGCAATTTTGAAGGCAACAATTCCTGGGATTTCTACCGTTCTCTGAAGGGTTGCTTTCAGGAGCACATACATGTTTTAATATGCTTATATGCAGGTGTCCATGCATATATACACATAGATGTTCTCATTCTGCCTCCACATGAACAGTGTTATCTGTTGGTAAGAGAACTCGGCCTTTTCTTATTACATACTTTTGATCACATGCTGTACACCAAAACCCAAAAAAACCCACCCTGCCTAAGAAAATAAAGGCATCTTTGAAGTGAGCCATAGTGAACATGCCAATGGCTCGGGTATATTACAAGATAACCTGCTTATCTGAGATGACACTTCTGGGTATAGTAGCTGTTGTCCCACTCTAGGCTGCACTTCAGTAACAGCAATTAAATCTCATTTTAAAGAACAGGGCCTGTCACATCCTAAAAACTTTACTCAATTATTCATTGAAAGCAAAAAATTAGAAACAACTCCTGTAGAATTTTTCAACTGATTGGAAGTCTAAAGGAAGCACACAAAGGTTTTCCCCCACACATGCAAACTGTCTTTTGTAGGTGCCACATGATTAGGAATAATACTGTGACCCTACTACTTGTGCTACAAAAACAACTAGAGGTTTCAGCTAAGGATCTGAAAATAACATACAAAGAACTATGCACATTTAATAACAGGACACAACTCTCTTTTGTGCAGACAAAGAGTGAAAAGAAGCTCAATTTTAAGTCTTTTATTGGGAGGAACTACCGAACAAGGAGCTTCAGGCAAATACAAATTTAGCAATAGAGCAAGGAGCGAAACACTCCACAACTGGCATTTTGATTATGGGCTGGCCTTTATTTTATGTGCTCTCGAGTGCTTTCAGCAAGTCCTGTGTTCCATGTGTGGCTCTTGCTAGAGTGCACGGCAGTTCCACGGTCTCTGAAGCTCATCTGGGGAGCAGATGCCAAAGGAGGCCTCCAGCAGTGCAAAGAGACCAAAGTGGACAAACCTGACACCTGAGATAGGCAGAACAGGCTACCATGGACAGACTGGGGGATGTGATGGGCAGACAGCCCTGCTGACACAGGCTGGTTTTATACCAGCCTGGAAAGCTTTTATACCAACATGGCAGGATAACCATCAGCAACTTCTGATCTTCTCCAGTAAGCTCTCCCTACCAGATTCATGCCATATTGACTTCCAGTGCATATTAAAATCAAGTGTCTTTAGAGAGGGTTAAGATAAATTATTAAAATGGAGAGTGGTTAAAAAACTGCAGAGGAGATATGGGAAAGAAGCATCTGAAAATTTCAGGATGATCAACTCCACCATGTAATTTTGGCAACAATTTGATAGGAACCAGCAGTCAGCTGCTGGAAGAACTTTCTTCCATACTTTATATAATGGATATGACTATAATTAAAACTATGTGTAGCAACGAGAAGCAAAGCTAAAGTCAGCTTTCCCTTATTATTTCCAAAGAAACCTAAAGGAGGTTTGTGTCAGGATCTTTTCTCTAGAGATTCCAGAGCTAAAGATACTAGAGAAAGGAGGCTATAGGCTATCTATCCCTTCAAAATCTCCCCAAGAATTATACAACCTGACTATACCACAGGATTAATGTTGACTAAACCCAGTAACAACTACACAGGTTCTGCAGGGAGAAGAAGAAAAAATTACTTATGGTTTATTGTCTTTAAAAATCTTCCTCAAAATACCTTGATTGGACTGAGGGAACAAAAAAAGGAAAGGAAACCCCTGCAGGTTCCTCCTGAATGGGGTGGCCTCATACCTATATGTAAGAATCTGGCCCCAGGAGAGGGAATTTATCACAGCACAGGGAGACGCTCACATTCCTTACAAACATGACTGTACTGTGCTCCAGCATGAGATTACTTGTTCTTGTAGCTGGGGAAAAAGTATACTTTAATCTTCATGCTATAGAATTTTTCATGTCTTTTCCTTCCCCACTAACTCAGTAGAAGAGTTTTTTTAAGCAACTTGTATTTCCCTACCACCAGGCTCATGTACCTGAACAGAACCCCTCTGAGGAACAGTTTTTTCAGTAAGCCTTGGTCATCTGATAGACTACAGGATAGCTAAGTTCTGCAACTGAAAAACCTGGACTACTTTCTACAGACAAATGCTCACTAAATGCATTAAAGCTTCAGGCAACAGTGGACGTGTGTATTCATATGCTTTTCTCAATCTGTTCCAAGCTGATGAACAGTCTAAATGGATTTTAAATTTCGTAGCAAGCTTAGGCTACCAATTTGTGTCTGCACTGGCTGCTATTCAGCCTAAGAATAATCTAATACTTTACAGCATGCTTCTGTTCAAAAGATAAAACTATACAGGCCTTCAGAAAAGACAAAGTATTTACATTTTTTAAGGAGTTCACGTTTGATTCCTTTGCTGTGATCCCAGTATTAGCATTTTCAAAGTTTGGAAGTTTCATAGTCCCTTGGAGGGCTATGAAAATAAGACCACAAAATGCTTCCCCTTTACATTAGAATCAACCTTCCAAAGCAATCAGATGACAAAAACAGCACACAGATGACCTGAAGGTATTTCCAGACATCACATCATCAGTTTCAGGATATATCAGATACTTTAAAGGTAAACAATACCATTAATTTGAGAATAACTATTTAGGGACCAGCTTTGTAAGTGACCTCATTTCATCTGCTTGTAAGCACAATTTCTTTATCTATGAACTGAGGGCATGAATTACCACTACTGTGAAAGTCCCACTTTTAGCTGCTCCCAGTGACTAGCTGTGTGTAAGGGTCAATTTCTTTTATATTTAGAGGACGAAGCTTCTATAAAGCTTAATTATTTCTCTGTGGGGCTTGAATGATGAAGGCACTTTGCAGCAATCAGTGGCTGCTTGGAAAAAATGCTGTCTTAGGATAAACAGCTGAGATGTGGATCTGGGCTGTATTCCCTTGTGCCAACTGGGGTTGTTTCAATCAGCATCAGTGCTGTTTATGTGTCTGAACAGGGCAAGTTGGGGAAAATGGGCTGTGTTCAAGTGCCATGACTAAATTAATTAAATCTGCCTTCAATGTTTTTTTTTTTTTTTAATTTTAAAAACAAATATAATAGATTTCAAAAATTTAAATGCTTCATGTGTAGCAGATTTAAAAGGAGTGTTTGAAATATATATACCAAAAAAGCAAAGAAGGGCCTGGAAGAATGCCACATCCCCCAGTGTGCAACATACTGCACACAGCCTAATGACACCATATGAAGATCCTCCTACATCTTATTCCCTGCTCCTTTTTCTGCTCTTTCTGGCCTCCATCCCTAGCCAAGTATTCAGGTGATTGCTTATTCTTGGCTTGGCCACATGTACTAGCATCTCCTCTGCCTCTCTTAGCATCTGCCTCTTGGAGAAGTGCCCTTTTTGCCCCTTTCTCCCAGGGGACAGCTCCACCTGGCCCTGACACTAGGGGTCTATATTCAGAGAGGTCCTGCTACCTCTACCAGCTGATTACATTTGCAGTAGCACCATCTGTCTGCCTCCCTCCCCGATCACTTTAAGCCCATGGGCATTGCTTTCCTTGGTCACAATAAGTAACACAGCATCCTCTCTTGGCTGAAGGCTGAGTTCTGACTCAATCCTTTCCACTCAAATTGCACTGTGCAACTGAGAGCAGTGGAAAGATACACAGTAATAATCACAGCAGGTTCATAATGACATATCAGCACCAGTAAGGCTTTGATTCAAGTGTCAGTGCCAAGAATCTGTGGCAGATTTGCTATGTTCCTGTGCTGTAAGCTAGATTTGGGTGGAAAAACAATGGCTGAAACAGTCATGCAGAAAGCATGACCATTATTTCTGTACACACTCACACACACTTCAACACATCTGGAAATGCAGCATGTAATTGATTTAATCCAATTTTGGTTAAAAAGCTCCTCTTAAAATGGTGTCGGATCAACAAGTCCTGTGGATTTCAGAAAGGGCTATACAGGCAGCCAAGCATTTCCATACTCAAAATGTGTAACCAATCTGCCTTATTGGCCAAGTTGCTATGGTATTCTGAATTAAAAAAAAATAGGCCCTTTCCTATTCAAACTCACAATTAAAGAAAAAATTTTCATGTACTTAAGCTTTCATGCAGCATTCCACTACTGCAACGTTTCATGATTTGTCATTTGAAATTACATGCAACAGCCAAAACACCTGTCAACTACAAAACAATTGCTGCAGTTTAGCACTGAACTGCCTGGATGCACAAGGCAGCATTCAGACAGGCAGGCAAATCAGGGGCTGACTTCACTGATGGGGCTTTCACCCTCTGCCCTTGTTTGAACTTATCTCCAGAGGTGCACAGAATGGATCAGGCAGAGGTGACACAAGAGCAGCAAGAACATCAACACCTCTGGGAAGCTCACTTTGCAACCAAAAAGTCTCCTCCATTAAACTGGCAAGACTGACTTTTGATCCCCTTGAGAACTTTAGCTTTTGCAACACACAGCAGTCATGTTGAACGTTTCAGCACTGCAAGATGAATGTAAATATTGATGTCTCACTTGCCAGCACTCCCAGGAAGAGCTTTGCCAGAGTGCAAGGTCCTTCCCACTGCACTGCCACACCACCAGTTCTTGATGAATTAAGAATGAACTGTGCAGATTCATTTGGGTACCAAAGTGCTGCTGCCAAAAGGTTTGTGCTGATTTGAGACACTCTGGGAAAAGTACAATGATGCTTAATGGCAAAACTACTATCTCTGCTGAACAAAACCTGAAAATCCAATTAAAGATCCCTAAGAAGACAAGAACCAGGGTAAAAAGGCATAAGCATAGTCCCATTTTAGAAAAATCTACATGACTATTATACTCACACAGTTTTTATTTCAAAACCCCTTATATGAATGCACATTTTCTGATGCCAAATGCAAAATTATCTCTTATCAATCCATGATTACAACACCTACAGCTTGGTCAACACCTTGTACACCAGGAAGTTGCCCTGCTCACTGTTTAGGACACCCAGTAATCCACCCTTTTGGCTCCAAAGTGAAAGTTGTATGTGCCCATATAAACCATATATTATATGCAAACTCTGTCTCCTCTGCTGCAGATAGTCATGAACAGTTCCCTAGATTCAGAAGTACTCACAATACTTATTATGTTGCAGCCATAATGACTCAGTGTTTCATTAAAAGTAACTACAAGCAGCCACTTAAAACTGTGGCAACAAAGAGTCGAAGCTTATACACCCCAAAAAAAGTACTGTTCAATCAACATAGCCAATAGAAAATCTTATGTGCAATGCAGAAAGAAGGGTAAGTATTGCAATAATTATCTTGGACAGAAGATACCTTTTTCCTAATGGCATAACAAAGAAATTATGCTTTGGATGTGCCCACTGGCTATACTGAAGAGTGACTAGAAGGGGTAGAGCATCCTGCTTGCCTTACATGACCAGGCTCAGTAAAATCAAACATTTAAAAACACTTACATAGTCATGTCCTGATAATAAGCTCATGGCACTTAAAAATAATTTCGTCTTAAAGTAACAACAGAATAACATTTAACCATATATCCTACACATATTATGGGATGCACATCAATACATATCTTACACAGCTTTATCTTACAAAACAACACACTGGAGTGATGTTTTTGGAGCCACTTTCCCCTCCAAGATAAGATCTCAGGCATCTGTCATCTATCTTGCTCCTATCAAGCTAAGGAGTCTGACAGTGTGAAAGAGAAAACCGACTGTAGCTTCCATTTCGTTTGACCTGTAAAGAGAGTCTGCAAAACACCAGAGTTCTAATGTTTCAGGAGTGACTATCAATGACAGGCATAAAAAACATTTTCTACTGGTCACATCATCACATGTATCACCCAATTTTGAAATGAAAGAAATCCCAGTATCTCCAAGTTTATCAAAACGGAGTTACATGGAGCAACATACCTTTGAGATGTTACTGGAGCGGCTCACGGAATGCCCCAAAGCCTTCTCGTTCTGAAAGAGCAAGAACAGGATCACTGCAGCAACAAGTCACAGCTATGAAAATACTTAAAAGTTGGCATTAGAAATCAAATTCCATGGAGACAGTCTTACAGCTGGGGGCTTTTAATGACATTGCTTCTATTGACATCAGCCTGATTTACAATAATCACTGAATTGCTTTGTCTGCTTAACAAGATATTACCTTGCAGAATACCACATAGGCAACACATGTACAAACTGACAAATACTAAAACAGTTATTTCTTTTTTCTGAGGGTACTGTAAAGGCCTTTTCTCAGATGGCATCAATTTCAGAAAGGATACTTCTCAGTATCATGAAGACCTGCTTCATCTAAAACAGACAAACACACAAAGACCCTCAAAAATAAGGACATAATACTTATGCAAAGGCTAATGTTGAACAGGACTACTGCCAGAACCTGTATGCTAAGAACTGGCTCCAATCATAAGGGACAGCCTAGCTGATTTCATCAAAGGCACTGTAACCATAGCAACAGGGCAAAAAAAATTTCATTGAAGCTACAGGAGACAGGAGGAAGAAAAAAGGGGGCAGGAACATGTTCTGAAGCTATGACGAAAAGAGACCAACACCGGTTGGCGAGCACAAAGACTTGCCACTGCCTGTGTGAGGTGTGGGGGAAGCAGGCTGTGCTTGGCCTTCTAGGGATGTGTGGGAAGCAAACAGAGCAAGGCTACATGCAACAAGGGAAAATGACAGCAGAGAGTGAAACCCTTGGGTGAGAAGTCTCCCTGAAGCAAGACAGGTGACAGTCTCAAATCCAGCCCAAGGTGCCAAAGACAAGGATGAAATTAAACAGAGCAGAGGTTTCTTCATGTTAACTCAATTCCCCCCCACCAAAACTCCTGTCTAGCTGAAGAAGATGCTTGCAAGGGAGCATGACTGAATTTACACAGGCACCTGCACTGAAAAGGATGTGCTGAAATTCAATAAGCATCACAGGCTGGAAGACAAGACCTGTATTTGTACAACACAGTAGATGATGCAGAGTAAACAGACTTTTAGCTGCTGCCACAGAAACTTGTCTCTCTGCCTCTGCTCCCAGAACTGATTTTATCTGATAGATGCCAGGAGCCTCCAAGAGACAGATGCACATATTATCTTTATTCATCTACTGTTGGAAACATATCTATCAGAGGTTTCAGTCAGCAGATGACTCCAAACTATTGGTTTTGTTATTGAAAAAACAACCATTTTAAAACAAAATTACAATCTTGAAAAGTATTCCCATAAGGGCTACAGAATGCATGCACACATAAATTTAGGAATCTGTGATATTCCTAATGGACTCCTAAGCACCTAAGTGCTTTTTAACATCTCTGTTTCTTAGCCACACAATGCAGGTACATCCATAACATCAACAGGAGATTCACAATAGTAGATTTTAATAGCAGGCACAATCAATGAGGAACAGAAACATCAAACAGATAAAAACTATTTAAAAGGCAAACAAACAAATCTCACTTTTCACTCTATATCCATCACCAGTACATCAGTCCTGGGATCTTATAGAATTATGCACAAATTAACAGAGACATGGGAATGGCAAGGCTAAACTCTCATGGTACTCTCAACAAATAAAAATCTTCAGACTATTTCTAGTATGTTCCCACTGCACAGTAAGACATATTCTGGCTGTTAATCAGAGCTCCAAATAAGCTCTCCTTCCCTCATGCAAAAGCATTGTGCTTTGCACTTGAATGAAAGATCAAGACAAAAGCAACATCTGCAAGCAAGGACCCTGCAATTATCACCAGTTAAAGTAAGTGTCACTCTCCTTTAGCAATTCAGTTTTTCTGTATGGAATAATGGGAATCCTGCCTTTTGAAGGCATCCTCCCCGACCAGAACCACCTGGCAGATGTTTAAAAAACAAACAAACAAACTCCACCCAGATAGGAAAAAATTACAAGTGAAGCTTGCTACTCCTCCTGAGCCATTCACCAGCAGATGCTGCTCTGAGGTCCATAGCAGCTAGTGTGGCTCCAGAAAAATGACTGAAAACCAGAAAAATTGCCACCCAGTCCTCTGGATGCACTTGCTTGCAATGGCCAGAATCCTCCTCCCAGCTTTCCTTTCTTTTTCTACCTTCGCCTTGAATTTGCTCCCAACTGTGAGTGACAGAGCTGCCTTTTTCCTTCACCAGCTGCTTCAGCTCACATCTGCCTTTCTTCAGAGCTCTAAACTTTGCCTTCTCCACCTTGCCTGGCTCACTTTCCCTTCTGCCACCATTCCTCAGCTGCATGACATCTCTCAAGGCCTTTTCAGTTCAGATATCTAGAAGATGATAACTCCCTTCTGTCCTTTCTTTTGCCTCAGTCTTTCATATATTCAGCATTTCAAGTTATTTTAGCCTTGCTTCCCTACTCTACTGTATCCATTTTCCACTAAGCACAACAGCTACATAGCTCACACAGCCAAACCCAGAATTCCTGTGAACCCCAACACATCAGTTCCTACCATGAGCAGCCACAGCAGCCACAGCTGCTCTTGTCCACTCCAAACACCACTGTATCAAACTGACCTTTCTCCAAACTTAGCTGCAGACTTACTGCAGCATCAGCAAGTGGGCACCCGAAAGAAATACAACTTAAGTATCTTGGCCAGATGAAAGGTTAACAATATATCAGTAAAATAATTTGGTTTTGTATTTCCAACACTCTGCTTTCTAGTCCTTAAGGCAGGCAAATAGAAGGCAACAGAAGAAGAAGATTCATAGCTTGTGCAACTATCTTCTGGTTACAACTGTGACTACACACCTAAATCCAGTCCTATGATTAATGTTAAACCCATCTTTTATCTCTGCTCATAGACCTGCAGAAGAAACTGCAAGCCAGATCCCAATGGGTTAGCAAGATGACTTTTATTCTCTTTCCATCTGGGAAAGGAGGACAGAGGGCACCAGAGGATGGTATTCCTTGCTTCCTGAACTCTTCATTCTTTAACACACCAGTGACCTGTTAGGGCACTGTATTCCCAATTCTGCAATACAAGTTCTGTTTTACATTATCTTACAAAGTATCATGGGTTAAGAGCTTTATCTGAAGATAGGCATTTTCCATCTAAAATCCCAGTAACAAAGAGCAGAGACTTTTTTTTGAGGACTGTGTTACTGCAAAGCCACAGAGAGAGACATCCCTACAAGGCAAGTACTAATGTCTCACCCCAAAAGAGACAGAAAACCAAACCATGTCAGACTGGCGAGAGCACTGACAACTTGTGGCTTTCTACGTGGACTCTGAACTGCATTTTAATTTTATTTTGTGCATTACAATTCCATTTTATAATGACAGATTAAGCATGAGATTGATATCTAGCAAAATACTTACTGTTATCAACAATTCATGTCAGTAAATTTTAACAAAGTCTTCTGGGTAAATGGTTGCTTTTCTTAATAAAAAACTTTGCAGAAGAGAAGAAATAAGTAACAACTGCTCTGATTCATACAGCAATCTTGCTGTATGAATGATCTAAATTAATCATTCTTAGATCTGATGAGAATTACAGAATGGAGCACAGAATGGCACTGCTTGGAATGGTGAGGTGCTGAAGTACTGAGTAGCTGATACATGCAGGGCAAAGCAGCAAATCAGAAGTGAAACTCTGTTCTTCCATTGAGTCCCACAGCTAGAGCATGAATGCATCACTGTTCTACAAACATGCAGTTGTACACACCCAGGTATTGTTTCGGGTTTCATGACTGGGTCAAATTTCCTGACAACTTCTTCCAAGAATTTCTGCAAATCTTGCTCTGCAACCTGAACAATTTATATTAAAAAGAACATATGCTTTTAGTCTGGGAAGAGGAAATTGCTGCTGATAATACTGGCAAGTGCACTTAATTGTCTGAAGTAGATAGAATGAGAGGAAAGAAATGGGAGAACACTTTTGTTTGCAATTATTTCCTTCACCTGTCAAAACCAATGGATTGTTAAGTTACAAAAGCTTTGTCAGAACTACATCTTGTCACTGACAGAACTTGACATATAATTACTCAAGTAAGAAATGGTACTTTGCATCTGATCATCTGACTATGACCTTTATTTCTTTGTAGTTACCACATCATTGTGGAAGAGCAATAACTATCATCAAGGTTCATCAATGATTTTTTACACATAGCTAGAAGAGAAATGAAAAGTAATGCCATACAAGAGTAATGCCTGGTCAAAAAAACATTCATGGCATCTATGCTTAGCATCTCTGCTCTTGTGGAGTACTAACTTAAAATACTTGTGCAGTGTTTACTTGACACTTGAAAGAAAAAGGGTGATGGAAATCACATCACCTATTTCCTTTTTTTTTTGCTTTTCTGGAGACACAGTATCAATATTGAGATAGAAATCCAAATCATGCCCCTTGCATCTAGTCCAGTATCTTCTGTTACTGGATAATCCCACTTGATTCATAGCAACCAGCAATTCATGGCTAAGTGCAGAAAACCAATGTAAGATTTCAGATGTATCATAAGGGAAAATCTATAGCAAGTTCACTGTGGATAATTCAGAGAGGTCTCTAACTTGTTTATTCATATTCATATTAAGCCACTTCACATAGTGGGAGACAAATGCAGAAAAACAACCTGAAGGCAAAAGATAAGCCTGAAAGTAAAACATAGGAGAATTAACAAGCTTTATTCCAGGCACTGAACTTACAGCTGTGCCTGAAATCATCAGCCACAGAAATAAAACCATGAGCCCATACAGTTCTAACAGAAAAGAGTGGCCAACAAAAGCAGAAAACAACAAACAGACCAAATGGCTCCAGTGGCAAAGTTCAAGGAACTGAGGAATTCAAAAACCGGCCATGGCCCTCGGGGGTTTGGAGAGGCAGGTCAAGGAGACTAGCAGACCACAAACAAGAAATAGAACTGAGAAGAAATTCAAAGAACAAGGCAAACACAGCAGAGTGCAGAAGTTAAACAGGAATCTCTCGCCCATGTCTGCACCCAGTGTGGACAGAAGCACCATGCACTCC